AACCTCTCGTCGGCCGATCTTTCTGAAGGGGGGTATCCGATGGAGCTGAGCGATGGGTATGGCGACGCCCAGGACTCGCGAACCTCAATGACCGTGGTAGGCGGCCTGAGGTACGAGACCCGACGAGGGTTGAAGGTGTTCATGTTGAGTTGTTGAGTGTGGTGTTCGTGATCAGGGTCCCTTATCCCATGGTTGCTTGGCACGCCCTTGAAGTAGAGAGTCACGCTCGGGACGAACAACAGAGCAGAAGAACGGGAGCACGATGACTCTTATTTACGCCTCGTTTTCCTTCTCCCGGAACGTCATGATCCCTCACCATCTTCTAGCTTCGACCGTGCCTTGCAGAGCCCAACCCCTCTGGCGGTCTGAGCATTGATGGTTAGCCCACGTCGTTTCAGTGCGTGCGTATTGGAGGGAAGAGACGACATACGGGGAGACGTACAAAGCTTCTGTCCTTCGTACGCCTCGAATACAAGGGGGTACCAAGCTGCGAATTGCTGGCGAGTGCTGAGCTGGAAGGCTTCAAGACACTGATCTCGATGTCGCTCTCGGCATGCACGGGGCACAACAATTCAGACGACGTACGTCCCCGCGTACATTCAAGACGGGCTGTACTTGCCTTTCACCATCGAGTAGGCCGAATTTACAGCGGCCTTCCTGAGACACGCATTGCCTTGAGTCCGGTTGATAAGCTGTCGTCCAGAAGTTTAGGACAGTCGTTGATGGGGGATGGCCGTCGGCGGGGATTGGCCGCGAGCGGCGAACTCTGTCCGGGGGTGAAACAAACCTTGAACCCCCCCTACCTCTCTCGACTTGCCTTTGGAACACACAAACACTCACTCTCTCTTCCAACTTTCACTGCTTTCTCTGTGGGCCTGGTCCGTGAAGTCACGCCAGGACAGACACAGCAGGGCCGGACGGCATCACCTGCAAGGAGGTCCCCGAGTACTACGACCACATTACAACTTCCAATTTCCCGGTTGAGCGGTAATAAAAGCTCCATCTGGTCGCAGTTTAGCTCTTTACTGACCATTGCACCGTTGGCGTCCACCCGCGGACCCGTTACCGGCACTACGCCGTTTAACCTTTCGGCCGTCGCCTCGCTCCCGAGACCCTCTCATGAAGAGTCATTAAAGTGCGTGTAATACGACGGTGTTTTACTACATCATCGGATCCGCTGGACTTGAATCCACTTTGATTGATGATTGATCTCCATCATGGGAGCTTCATGGAAGTTACAAACTGGCGCAATTTTGACTCTCTTCGCCGACACAAGCAAGGGGGAGAGCCGAACATTGAGTAGCCCTAAAGGTGCGCGTCATCTCAAATTCCCGCCCTCCTTATCCGAAGATACCACAACTTTGGCTTTACTACGATGCCTTCCTCGCTCTTGTAGAGCAGAAAATAAGTCCCTCTCTGTCATATCAGCAAACTCACCACCATTCCCACCTGAGAAGGCCCAGCCGCCCTAACCAAGGGCAACCTAGTTTGTTTCCAGCTGTGAACATGTCACTCTCCGGCAAGTCAAAGCTTTGCGGCTACAAGTGGGATTTTGTTTTGGTGTTCGGACATTATTTACTAGTCTCTCCTCCACACGGATCCCTGCTGCGCCTAGTCCAGGTCGGCCAACACCAACCGACGCGCGCGCGGGCTACGCACGGCACGAACTCGGGTTTGTGCTTTGAACCACACTTTCCCTCCCCGATTCAAGGCAACAAACGGGCGTTGGGCCAACTTTCAGGCTGCTAGTGAGGGAGGGGAGCAATTGTGTCTGATCTTTTCCATTCATGCCTTCGCAATCGCTGTCGGCTGGATCCGCGAGCCTCCAAGGTGGCAGGTAGGCAGCCCATTTCAAGGTCAGGGAAATGGCTAGCCGGTGCCGAAAGACTAAGCCAGTGTAAACACAGGGGCAACTCTCTCATCTCGGCTCCGGGTGATCAACAAAGGCAAAATGATACCAGAGACAATGAAGTCGTACCCAGAGGATAGCGAGATGTTTTGAGACCAAGAGGCAAATTAGACAAGATAGATTAGTCATGGAGCACAGTGACACGAACAACTTAGAGTGGCTGTGTGCAGGCGTTTGCAAATCTGCTGCGAACTTGCGCTTGGAGGATTATTTATGGAAAGCCCAGAACCAAGCGCCAAGCGCTGCCAAGTAGCAGCAAGCCCCCATTCGCAATGCTTGGTGTGGTGAGGCTCATCTGCGGTAGTGTTCGTGAGATATCTGCAGCTCATAGCACGCGCCAAGAGCATAGCCAGGGCGGGTAGACAGCCTTGGCGACGATAAAAAGCCACAGCAGGTCAACAGATGGTGTGGGTGGTGGATTGGCGGTCCTCGTAAACCGAGTTGAACATACATTTGTTGAGACCAAAGGCACCTCAAGAAGGGTGTCGTATCCACCTCTCCGGCTCCTGACCTGGCAGCCCTACTGATAGTGCTCACAACCTGAATCATCTTCACAGGGGTCATCGTAGGGCATGCGGAACTTTATGGGATGGCGATGTCCCAGTCATTTTCCGATGAGTACGCCAGTGCACGCAGGCGGATAAACGGAATGTAACAGTAAGCCCCTGGCTGGAGGCATTCGAAAGAAGAACAAATAATTTTCCTTCAGGGTCGCAGTCTAAAGATTAGAATCAAGCTCAAAAGAAGATTTAACTAAATCTTTTGCAATTTAAGATTACTGATTAAGGCTATCACGAATTAGATTCTCGGCGGTTGCCTCCCGAAAAACAAGCTGAACAGCCGGTTTTCCAGAGCTCCAATCAGGTCCCAAGTTGGGCTTCTCGAGATTTCAAGCTTCTGATGAATCGGAAAGTGGAGAGATTTCAACGGCATTGACCGTTGGTCTGGTAAGCTTTTGCTGGCAAAGTTAACTTTGTCTGTGCATGAGCAGACATCCTAATTCGGACGACCTGACAAGCGACAGTCAAGCCCAGCCTGGTTCGAGAGTTCAGCTTGACTCGAGTATGGCTCGCTTAATTCCTTTTTGTTGGATACGGCAACATTCATCAATCACTTCACGGGGTAAACTTGGCCTCAGAGGATATATAAACCTCAATTATATGTTGCAGCGGGCGTGTCTGGGGTTCCGGCCGGTGTCGTTAGGAACAATCTTCCTGTGATTGTTTCAATAGACGTCATCAGTGGTCTTCATTTATGCTTCCAAGACGAGTGAACGATTTCTCAAAGGTGTCAAACTAGCCGAGGCGGGATATCTCCGACTTGTTTGTGATTCGAGACTATTTCTTCTTCCACTTGTTGCAACAATGAGTCAGACTGTGATGGCGGGCTGTGACACAGATATCGGACCCTGTTGCAGTCAAGTACGAGGTCTCGAATCAAACTTAATGGAGATATCCAAAGTAAGGTGAACACCCAGCGGCTAAACGGAGCATTATGTTTACGTTTACGGCCCGTCTGTCTCCGTAGGCAGCAAAGGAAGTTGCCGTTTGTTCGTCTGAACTTCGCTTCGCCGTCTTGGTCCAAAGGGGCAATTGTGGGGCCTTGGTGAGGCCTCACTCCACCATTGACTTCACCTTTGCGCAGGCTGAGTACGATCATGAGATACACAAAGAAGAAAGGTGAAATGAGTGGGAAAGTAGGACTCAGGACTCAGTGGGACACGCATCTTATAGATATTCAATGATGCAGGTGCCGCACCTGCCAGACGTGTATCCATCTCTGGGTTGCGAGGTGGGAGGTGAAGCCGGCTCTGGTAATTAAGACAACCACACCCGGCTTGTCCAAGAAGCAATCTTTCCTTTCCTCAACTCAATTTTCTCCATTCCTTCCATCCTCACGATCCTTCCTGCCAAATCCATACTGAACCTTTCCCGCGAGATAGCAAAAAGTTTCTGTCAACTCATCATTATCAACTGCACGACACGCGAGACTGGTTAACTCTGCACGAATCCTGTACACTAAGAAGTATCATACTCGACGCGAAGCATTCACCGGCAGGTCCGAGGTCGTTTGCGACCGCATCAAGAGCGATGGACCGCCAAGTCTCCAACAACAAGCGGCAGCGGGAGGCCGCAATGGGAGACTGGCCCAAGATGCCGGGACAATTTCCAGGAGCTCGATCTGTCCCTCCTCTGGTATTTAATGAGCTCTGTTGTTCGAGTGGCACGATACTTACGACGTATCACTCTAGGTACAAACGAGCAGGGTCCAGTGGCCTGACGTCCGATTGGCAGAGAACATATCGAAGGCTCCGGCATCTCCTACTGCCAATCCCGAAGTGGAGGAGTTTCGCAAATGGCGCAGCGGAATTGATAAATCCCTGGGCGATATCCATCTCAAGCTCGACCACCTGCTTTCTGAGACCCAGGAATTCCGCGCGATGGAGGCGCACTACAAGAACCTCCAGGAGAACACGCCGATGGGCACTAATCTTTCCAATTCCTGCCACCGACTTGATCTTCATCAGCAAACCATTGTCGAGACTGTGCAGAAATTGGAGACCACAATGAAGCAAGTTGACGACCTCACGCACGAAGTCACTCACTTGAAGGATGGCTCTGAGTTCACTGTGTCGTTTAGATCGTCGGGTCGCAAGTGAGTTCTTGGAAGCATATATCTAGCAGATCGGTATTGACAGTTTGGCAGGCAGTAGATGGTGTCCTTCATAGCGGACTTTTGCACAACGCTGGGAAAAGATTGCATTTCACACTTCTGCGTTCTGCCAACGTTAGTTGATGGGTATAGCGAGATGCACTTCTTTGTTACCGGTCATGACAGCATATTTTACACAAGGGAGTTGGCGTTGCTTGGATCACTTCAGGGATGAATACGGGAGCGCTGAACGAAGAAAGGATGAAGAAAACCATTGTGATACTGGGATGGCATTTCTTTGACGAACAGACACGTAGAGGAGCGCTTGCTGTTTTCACAAGGCTCATGATGCGATTATGTTGATCGCTCTCACGGCAATTGAGACATAAACCTAGTAATAGAGTGGTTTGCTACGGAATTCTGGGAGTCTAGCAATATTTCAGCGCTGAAACGGGGCAAGGAGGTCAGTTCTGTTGTCTGCGACGTTGCCTAAGGTTGATGTAAATCCGTGCTGCTCGATACCCTCCAACGCATGAGAAGATTCGCAGTCTTTCTTCAAAGGTGTCTGCCATTGTCTCCCTGATGCAATTTCTAAGATTGCTCTAATATCCGGTCTCTTCCCGTCGAGTGGTGACCTCCAAGCTATGTGGTCATCAGGACGGACGAGAACCGCATCTCTACCCCACACCTTCCTGGCCTGGATCTCTCCGGGCAAATAAACCTTCGTCAGCGGAATATTGAGCATTCCAGCTGCTGCCTCAAACTCTTGACTCCAGGTCCCAGCTTGTGTGAAGTCAATGATTGAAAATCCTACTCCAAACAGGTCGAAAATGCTGGTTTTGCCATCCCGAAGATAGACATGAGGAGCACGCCCACCAGGCCATGAGGATGGCACAAATGTTCGCGGATCCCATGAAGGCTCCTGTCCTCCTTCTCCAGCTTCGTTCTGGAGGATGACAGGCGATGCGTTGTACCGATATCCCATTTCGATTCCGTGGTCCTTGTTCTCACCTTGGTGGGTCTCGGTATGTGCCTTTATGCGGTTAAACAGAAGTCTACGCTCCCTATTGAAAAGGACATCTGAGCCTCCGTCGGCCACCCACTTGACGTAAGTCTGGTGAACTTGAAAATGTTGACCAGACCGTTCGATGTTGCGAATTGCAACCGGTTTTCGTTCGACTTCGTAGGAGCGGAGCAATTCTTGCCCTCCCCAGCCATTAAGAACAGCCGATAGTTTCCATCCTAAATCAAAGACGTCGCCAACAGCCGTGTTCATGCCGTATCCACCAGTGGGAATGTTTTGATGAGCTGCATCGCCGGCTAAGAACACTCTGAAACTTTCAGAAGCAAAACGTTCGGCAATAGCGATGTTTGGGCGCCACGAGCTGCAAACGAGGATTTCGTCCACCTTGATGGGATAAGGAGCCAAAGACCCGCCCAGCCCTCGGTATATGGACTCTGTTGGATCAAGGGACTTCCAATCAGTGTCGAGAGATATGGGAAGATGGATTGTCCATGTATCAACTTCGTCTTGAGATATTATGACGCTGCCGCTGGTGAAGAAAATGTGCCAGAATTGGCCTTGCTTGTGCAATGCCGTGAGATCTCGTGACTTGAAGTGATTGAGATACATCGCAGAAGGTCTGGACAATATCACATTAGAGACTCAAGTTGCTAGTCTTCGATGGAAAACCATGCTAACTCACACAGGACCACCAATCATCTTGATGTAAAGTTGCCGACGGACGCTACTGCCAGCGCCGTCACAGCCGACCAGATACTGACTGGTGACCATATGCCGCTCTCCAGTGACGGTGTTGACGAGTTCCGATTTAACCCCGTCGGAGGTTTCTGCACAACTTTCGAACTTGAGGCCGAAGTGATCTTCGACTAGCTCTTCGGACTCTATGCGACGCTTCAGCCAGGCTTCGAAAATAGCCTGACTGCAGCGCTGGTATGGCTCCCTTGGCATGGAACCATCATTGCAAGCATGGATGCGCTGGCGCCATTCGTCTGGCGAAGGAAGGTTCTACTTTCTCATGAGAATTACAAAGCCATTGATCTAGCAGGGGTATCGGGGCAAGCATAAGCTTACCCATTTGTCAATGAGCTCTCCATTTTCTGAGAGGCCCGTACTGAAGAGAACGTCGAAAGAGTAGTGTTGTGGGACGCCTTGAGCCCGCAAGTCATCGGCAATCCCGAGTCTTCTAAGCAGCTCCATGCTTCGACAATTAGTGATATCCATTTTTGGCCATTTCGTTGAATCTAGGTTTCGTTCAGCTATCAAGCTTTGGACACCATTCTTCGCCAACTGCAGTGCCAGAAGCAACCCAGCGGGACCAGCGCCAACGACCAAGACTGGTACGTGGTGCTCAATTACCTGCGAAATAATCAGTCATAAAAACGTCGAACCAGGCAGTTGAGCAACAAAATTCGACGTACAATTGTCGAGCTCATGGTTAACGCGATTGAATAATTCGATTCCGACTAGCAAATCGTTGGTTGAAAGTCACACAGCTCAGAATGACGACAATGTTTCCCTCAGATGACTTTGGGCTTTTTGTAAATTAGCACCTCGATCTGGCGAGAATATTGTCGACCGCTCTCACTATGCCGACGTCCACCGCGGTGATCTTCATCCGGCTGAACTCTTGTCCAAGGTTCTTCACTTGACCGCACGTGCCTAGTCAATGTGCCCCCAAGGACGGCAATTCGGAACGCCGTGGTTGACCGTCCCCACACAGATACTGAGTTCTAAGTACGGAGTACCTAGTGTGGCCATCTCAGAAACTTTAAAGCTCAGAGGTTCTCAGCAATCATCTCGACATATTCCCATATAATGGCATTTCCAGTCAGCAGCTGCATACTATCAATACCTTTTCATATTGAGGCGTGCCATGCAGGCTTGCAGATGCTGAGAGAGTGTCAGGAGAAGACCGGAGCATCACAGATGGCTGAAATTGAATAACTTGTTTGAAAGTGTACTAGGTCCAAGGTAGATGATACATGTAAAAGAGGGTCGATTTTGATTACCCCATGAGGAATGCGTTGCCGGTCTAGTTCCCGTTGAAGCGACCTGTGCCCAAGCAGCCCCTGCATCACATCCCGTAAACCCCGGGCGGCCCCTCACCTGGAATCTGGGGTAGCCAGCGGGGCACATCTCCAAGCAACATGAATTTGCTTCAGTCATACATCGACATGTTCATCGTCGTCCTCTAAGCGTCGTTTACATCCACTCCATATCGCCCAAAGCCTTACGTCTTCCGGGGCTATTCTTGTCCTGACTGCATACGACTTGCAATTCTAGAGTCGCGAACGTCTCCTCCAGCATCGTTATCGTTGCACAGGCTTGATCCAGATGGAGGCCGAAGCAGGTATCACTGGCTTAGGACCGACAAAAGATGCCCGGGTCTCAAAAGACAGCAATATCATTGCAGACATTCCCCCAGAGAGGGGATTTCGCGCTTGTATCGAGTGCCGACGGTAAGTCGCCGCCTACAGAGTATGACTTAAGGTCACATCACTGGTTCTCCTACTCTTCCCGGCTTAATCGTACTGACTTCTTCCAACGCAGCAAGAAGACAAGGTGTATGCAAGGACTTCTGAATTTCCCTACGTTTCTAACCACGTCACTGATCTTGAACCTGTAGGCGATATGCGGCAACCCATCTGCGGTCTCTGTCGGAGAACAGGCGGGTCTTGTACATTCCCGACAAAAAGGAAAGCCCCCGAATTCCGAAAACGGCCCGCAAAACAGAAGGATTTAAACGTGATAGACCCTCAAAGGCTTGGTTAGACCCAATTTCATCCCGAATACGTCAATTGTGTTTATACTAAGCCTCTGATAGAACATCTTGTTAGCCTTCTTGAATCCAGACTTGACGAAACTCCAAAAAGCCAAAGCTCTACGGGCCAATCTCCAGGAAGAGAGCAAGGCAGCGATCAATCAATTGCTACGAGCCCTAGTTACTCCGGATCCGTTGGGACTTGTCGAGACGATGCGGAGCAGGACGCCATAGTGGATCTAGGCTGTACTTCCGCCAACTCAACAAGCCATTGTCTCGAGCCCAGAGCTGATCGAAAAGTCGAAATCAAAGCGGGAGTTGCTGCAGAAAGCACAGAAAAGAATTTATACCGGACCGAGATACCTGCTGAAGTGGCAACAGAGCTCGTCAATTTGTACTTCGACAAAATTCAAGCATGGTTGCCATTGCTTCATCGACCAAACTTCTTCGCCAGGTACATTGTCGATGGTAGTTTCCAAAAAGAGAGGTTACTCCAGGTGTCGCTGGAAGAGGGCCTTCTGTTACATGGTATCTTTGCTCTCGCCGCGCGACACTCAAATAATGAGTACTTCCAGGGATTGTCACCAACGAATCGTGGGGATAATTTCGCCGAAGGGGCGATTCAATATTACGGCCGACTGCGATCGTCCGATAGCGAAACAACGTTGGAATATTTACAGGGGTGTATATTGTTGGCCTTTTATCTCTACACGGCCGGCCCAAGTCATCAAGCATGGATACTCACCGGGGTATGTGTTCGCTTAGCTTACGACCTCGACGTCTGCTGTATGGACGAAGAAGACGGCGGCAATGAAATGGCGTCCACAAAGTGGTCGGCAGAAGAGGAGCGTAGGAGAGCATTTTGGCTCGTATGGGAGATTGATACGTTCGCTTCAATCCTCTCAATGAGGCCGCGAGGACTCAACAGCCACAGGATCATTGTGCGTCTCCCGGTCAGCGATGAAGCGTGGTTTTCCAACAACCCATGCGAGTCACCGGTCATTCCCCTTAATCCAACACAGGTTTGGAGAGTCTTGCTCGACTCTCCGAACAAAGACGAGCGAGCGTGGTTCCTCGTGGCCAACTATCTGATGGCTTTGGCGTACGAGGCAGCTTCAGGCCAGCAGAAGTCTCAGCGAGAATATAGCGATCTCGCTAGCTCAATAACTTACTTCTCTCTTGCAGTTTCTCGGAGATATGGACTGGAAACTAAGCCGCCTGTCTTCACTGCCAGGACTTTTGCGAACGCCAATTGGATTATTGGCATGCATCTAATGTTGGCAAACACTCAAGCGTGTTTACAAATTCTGACAGCAACACCAGCGTCGGGTGTTGCGACAATCGGAGATGACTATTCGAGAATCCTCAACCGTTGGCACCCCGAATACATCGCCTTCAGTCACCCATTCTTCGCCGGAACACTTCTTTCTGCCCGCACCTATCCATCAACGTCTTCGTCGCGGTCACTAAGTTCATCGTGCAACCAAGAGCTTTCAGCCCTAATTCTTTCCCACTTTGCTACTTTCTGGGAGCTAGGTTCTGTGCTGCTGGGTGAGTACATCCGTTTCTATATCGAGACCATTCATTCAGTCTAATGGTGCCGATTCTCGCAGGCCTGATGACTTCCAAGTCAATAGAATATAAGAGAAACCTCGAGAAACAATCCTCATTGAGAAAATACTGCAAGATTTACTTTTCTCATTTGAATCTGCACAATGAGTCACTCAGAGCCACAAATAAAACTCGATCGGGTATGCGACAGTCTGGTGTTGGATCTGTCTATGACGGAGCGTCTGAGCCACATGGCGCTTGCCAGTCTCCGAGGGAACTTTTCGACATCGAATTGGGTTTGGATGAAAATGTGGGCGAGATACCACAACTTCTCGCAAATACGTCTGAGGGGTGCTATAGCTGGTGCTCCCCTGTGCAGTTGGAATATCTATGCGGTGATAGTTTTGGGTTCAACTGCTTCGAGTCGAGCCTCTGAACAACGTCGCAGACATCTCTTTCGTGTCCCGTTCTTTTGCGCGTCAAAAGACGATCCAATTTGCGATTCTCCCCAGTCCAGAGATCCCTACTTCTACCAAGTCACCGTCCTTGAGAAAGGCGCCTCGAAAGTAACCGACGCCAGAGGGAGTGCCTGTCATGATCACTGTTCCCCTCCGCAAAGTCGTGCCTCGAGAGAGGTGGGCAATGATCTGGGCTACCGACCAAATTATGTCACTTGTACCCGTCTCTTGGACCACCTCCCCATTGACAATTGTCGTGAGATGAAGCTTTTGGGGATCTGGCACCGACTCGGTTGACCAGATTGCGGGGCCCACAGGTGCAAAACCGTCAAATGATTTCGCATAACAAAATTGTCCACCAGAGGCATCTGGCAGTTGAAAGTTCCTTGCAGACACGTCGTTCCCAGCTGTGTATCCCAATACGTAATTGAGAGCCTGGTCTTCCTTGACGTCTTTGGCATCGTGGCCGATGATGACCACGAGCTCTCCTTCCTAGTCCAGTTGAATCTGAGCGTCTGGATGTACTTTGATATCGTCCAAAGGCCCCGCCAAAGCATCACTCGGCTTCGTGAAAATGACGGGAAAGGTTGGCACCTTCGACTAGACGTTGCGTCGATACGTGAGTAAGTTTTTCTCAGTTCGGGAACACTAACTGTGTGAGGGCCAAGGGCAGGACTTGGGCATTATGCATACCTTTGCTTCTTCTGCATGTTGCTTGTAGTTTGAGCCCTACACAGATGATGATGGACAGGCCGCAATGGGGCATAAAAGCAGCGTCTTCATTGTGAGCAAATGGCGAATCGGGCAAGGTGCATGAAGTACCTTCGCAGTTTTGACCTTGCGACCAGTTAATTTTAGACCTAGCCATGGGCTACCATCCAGCTCCAAGACGTCGAAGCCCTTGTCATCACTAGAGTCGATCATATCACCATAGTTAATTTTCCCATTTTCCTCAAAATGAACAAGTCGATTGAAAGACATGGTCAACAGTGAGTTGCCAAGAGCAATTAGGTGAGCATATGGAAGAAGACTTCCCAGCCTGTGGCAATTAATCGAAAGAGCAACCAAGTAAAGAATCGGGTGAGGATCTCTCATTCCGGAACCTGTAGATAGCGAAAGGAAGAGCCGTCAAATAGAGTTAGTCCCTTGGCAGCAGGAACCCGTGTCTTCCGGCAGATGCAGGTCAAATAGCCAGGCGGCATTCGCGGTAAAGCCGTTCAAGGCCGCGGCGCATCATCGGTCAATAAGTCCGCGAAATCCCGTTGGGAAATCTAGTGCATTGCGCTACATATATGACCAGCCGTTTTGAGTATCCAAGAGCCTGCACGTAATCTGATTCACTGTCCGTAAACCCATCCAGCTTATCATTAGTCGCGTGTCGCACCCATGGCTTCATCACCACAGAAGATTAGGGTCAATCGTCTGGCCTCAGTGCTGTATCAGCACGTCGACGTCGAAAAGGCAGCCCAATTCCTTGAAGACTTTGGCCTTCAAGAGGTGGCTCGGCAGGACGGACGTGTCTACTTTGCCGGCTTCGGTGTTGACCCGTACGTCTATGTAATTGAAAGATCTCCCGGCTCACGCCGCGCATTTATTGGCGCAACCTGGGTCGTGGAGAACGAGAACGACCTTGAGGTCGCTGCGAATCACCCTGACGCTACAGGCATTCACGGCGAGAAAGGCCCTGGAGGTGGTAAAAGAGTAGACATTGTCGACCCGAATGGGTACTATGTTGGATTCATTCACGGCCAGGCCCCAAGAAGCGATGTTGACAATGTGGACAAAAGCCGGATTGCTGACGACGAGAGTCCCCCCACCAATCTGGTTGACGAAAAGCCAAGAAAAGGTCGTTTCAAACGCTTCAATTACGGGCCTAGTCCAATTCACAAGCTGGGGCATTATGGATTCATGGTCCCCAAGGACACCTACGAGAAAACGCTGAAGTGGTACACTGGCCTTATGAACCTAGTGCCTACTGACGCGGTTTTCGACCCTCGGACAAACAAAGACACGACTTGCTTCATGCACATTGATAGAGGAACCACTTTCACTGACCACCATGTAAGTGGCAAAGCCGTGTAATCTTTGGTGCATTTGTTGATCACGGACCCAGAGCTTTTTCCTCGGCGCCCATCCGTTTAGCCAGACGCCTTTTGTTCATCACGCTAGCTTCGAGGTTAATGATATGGATACTCAAGCTCTCGGCCACGAGTGGCTTTTGAAGAAGGGTTACACCAACTGCTGGGGAATTGGACGGCATGTCTTGGGCAGCCAACTATTTGACTACTGGTAAGCATGAACGCGATCCCCAAGACTCCAAGGAACAAGTGCCGAAGGATGGAATAACGGGATATTCGCCATAGGTTTGATACATCGGGAAACATTCTTGAACATTATTGCGATGGAGACCTGGTCAACGAGAACACTGAAGCTACCCGGTCTCCAGAAGCACCAGATTCACTCCATGTTTGGGGTCCAAACGTTCCTCTCGGTTTTGTGACTGGCAGAATTGAGGATGCAGGGAAACTCGTAATGCCATCAGCAACTTGAAGTCTCAATCGACGCAGTGCAGGTGAGCATGCAGTAAGCGTGCTTATGTTACGAGCGTTCGACTGAGCTGATGCAGCGATGCGAGACGCCACATGCAGTCATATGTAGTTTTATTCGATGACTAATTCAAGAGTCTGCCGGAGCGTGTTCAAAGATTCTACCTAGCATGAAACTTGTTTCCATGAAACTGGTGACAGGTTTTCCCAGCCTAAGGTATGCACAATTATTCGTCAGGGCTGTCTTTGATCGGACAAACAGATGCTCCAGTCTTTCCGGTCGCTGGCTATAGAACGTAGAATAAGAGCACACAAAAGTATTCAAATTACCGCTAACTTAAGGTTTTCGCATGGTCTTTTCATCCCAAATTTTGATGTTTACCTCTGTGCCGGCAACGAGGTAATAGTTTCTGCCATCATGTGACACATGGGTGTGCGATGTGGAAGCCTTTTTTCTTACAAACCTCCAGAGAAAGTTCGTAGTCAAACAGGTTTGTTGGCAGATTTGCAGGATCATTCAACGCCTTCCCTCGAAAACTGCAGGGATGAAGCTTTGAAGAATGCGGGTGATGGTCATGGGGTCAGTCGTGTTACGGTTAGCTATCGCATCGGCAAAGCTCGGTCAATGGCGGTCAACCCATCGTTCCGAGCTCATTCTGACATCGGTCAGCATTACCCCCTTTGGCAAGTCGTTTCCATCAGCTTTACGCGTCACTGTGACGAGGAATTGGTTTTGCTGGAACCATCCTATATATGCGTGCTCGGGAACGCAGCACAGCTCCTTTTATTTCAGACATCTTCGATCGCACCTCATGAGTGAACACCCATACATGAAATACATGTAAGTTTGCTGGAATCGAAATGAAGGTGGTCATTATTGGTGCCGGAATCGGTGGTCTGGTTTGCGCCATATCCTGTCGTCGGGAAGGCCTCGAAGTTGTAGTTCTCGAACAAGCTGCTGCTTTACAGCCTGTAAGTGCCATTCCGATGCACCTTGAAGCTGAAAACTTGAGGGGGCTACTGACAGTGTGAGTTCAATAGGTCGGCGCAGGGATACAGATACCACCTAACGCTGCCCGGATCCTTCGCAAGCTCGGCCTCGTACCCCAACTGCTAGACAAGGCTACTTTGGTCGATACAATTGACTACCTTCGATACAAAGATGGCAAGGTCTTGTATCAGATGGAAGGCGGCGAGAAGATGAAGCAATCCTATGGCGATCTTTGGATGTCAGTTATTGCCCGAGGTGGCGAGGTGCGTTGCTGATGAAGCTGAGTCTGACCCTCTCTTAGGGTTATTGCTCGACCACACTACCACGGTGTATTATGGAGCGCGGCCAAGGAGGCTGGCGCAGAGTTACGACTTGGCACGGAGGCAGTGGCGATCGATTTCGAAGACTCAAGTGTGCGCCTTGGGACTGGCGAAATCGTAAGGGGTGATGTTGTCGTTGGTGCCGATGGTCAGTCTGCCCACATTTCAAGTTGCTATTTCTTGACGTTGATCCGAGACTGGCAAAACATGTCCTTACTAATACCGCGGAGGTCTCTGGTCAAGATCGAGGGATCAGATTCTTGGCCGACCCTCTCCACCGTCTGAGACGGGAGACCTTGCATATCGAGCCACCTTGACCTTGCAGCAGATGAAGGATTTGAAAGACCCTCGGATAGACGACTTGATCGAGCATAAGACAGTCAAATGCTGGATGGGCCCGAATAAGCATTGTGTTCTTTATCCCATCGGCGGTGGACAAGTATTCAACCTTGTCATTATATGCCCAGATGACATACCCAAAGATATGAGACAGGCGCCTGGGGATGTGGAGGAGATGCGAGCTTTGTTTGTCGGCTGGGATGAAAGGTCTGGTAAATGTTCTCTTACACTGGAGTATTGTTACTGACCTGATCGACGTAGACTGATAAAAATGCTGTCATGTGTCCCGTCCGTTTTAAAATGGAAGCTGTGTCACCACGAAGAATTGCAATCGTGGAGGAAGGTAATCATTCTACGGACCTAGTATCTGCAAGTGATCACTGATTTCAACAGGGCCCCATAGCCTTGCTTGGCGATGCATGCCATCCAACACTGCCATATCAAGCGCAGGGCGCAGCAATGGCGGTAGAAGATGGCGCTGTTCTGGGAAAGCTGCTTGGGCAGTTGGAGAGCTCAGGTCTATATCATGATGGGACCAGAGACACTGTACTGGACATGTTGGAGATCTACGAGAACTTACGAAAGTCTAGGACCACCATCAACGTTCAGGGAGCAAGGTCAAATCAGCGTGCATATCATTTGCCAGATAGCCCCATTCAGGAGTCAAGGGATGCTTGGCTAAGGTCTGAACCTAGAGGAGCTTCACCCGATGGTTTCACTCTCGCTGACACGGCCTACCTCGAAGTTATTCTGGGATTTGATGCCTTGGAGGAAAGTGTCGATGCTTTCGAGCATTGGAAAGCTGGCCAGTCACAAACTCTGCCGAGATACAATTTGTAGTGGTTTGTAAAGACGAGCTAAAGCACTAGTGTCTTAAGATTTCATTCTTTCAGCCTTAAACAGTACAGGAGTAGGGGCATCATATGCCAGAGCGAGCATTGAGTGCCTCGTGGAGGAAAATCAGTATTATTGTAGATACATCAAAGGCGGCGCAGACACGGGAGCTATGACCGGCACGCCCAATTGAGCCCCCCCCCCCCCTCCCAATGAGGGGGGTTCGAAACGCTATAGTCCTGGAGGACGGAAACAATGAAAGTACACGCATTTCAATGAACTGTCCCATTTGGGGTCTAAAGGTTGCAAATTACCATCCATGTGAAGACAACCCGGCATGCGCGGTCAAAGCAGGAGTGCCGTCTCGGCCTATGACGGGGAACTGATTCCTGCCATGACCAAATTTGACCATAAGATCGGGTGTCGCGCGGGGAATGAGCCGTATCTTCTCCCGGGCTTGGCCGTTCCCACAGTCTTCCTCGAATCCCGACTCTACAGGCGAACATTCAAAAGAAGGTAATTAGCTTTTAGGTAGACAGCGGCCATTTACAACATATTCGAGACTCCAATTCAGGGGGTGTTCTTCGTATACTTGTTCGTAGCAGAGTCTTTTGCCCTTAACTCGCCCTCAGCTTATGGCCCATCAGTCATGCTGACTCGTAGCTAAGCGTTGCACCTTGAGTATGGATCTTCTATGCTTAATCGTCGAGGCTGGCCTCACCTGCCAAGCGTTTCTTTGCTTATCCACTACATTATATATTCTATTATTCCTTTGGGTCCACTTTCCAAGTGACTTGTCGCCTGCATCATATCACTTCCTTGCCAAGCATACCGACATTTGGAAGTTGATTGATGTGGCCAGAGGACGAGCCCGCGAGACGCACTTGGCATTGCACGAAAAACAGGGGCAATACGTGCGCCTTGGGCCCAGTATCGATGTTAGTATATTAATGGCTAATGAGTGAGGCTATTACTGATCAGTAACCGCTGGGTCGTAATACGTTGAGTCTTAGGGTTTCGAAGAACCTGGAGCTAATAAGAAACATCACCCATACCAAAGCGTGACTTATTATAAGGGTGGTATCATTTACTACTATCTAAAACGACTGACTGGGTCGTTAAGTTCACAGACCCGGAGGAACTGTTCCTTGATCCAGACGACTTTGTCCCTATGCAGCTGACGACAGATAAGTTCTCCGCCTTCCTTTGACAGCACTTTGATCAGGCTGTTCAAGTGAAGCAGTGCGTGCGAAGGGCCTTGAATCAGAATATGGTGCCTATAATCAGAGAGACTCATTGCCTCGTCCCCTCGGATATACTGCATACGTGTAGCTTCGTCAAAGTTCTGGTCGTGGTAGCTGGGGATTCTGATCGCAGGGTCCGCTAAGTCGTACAAGCCTCTGTGATTTTGGCGGTTACCCAGGTAAAACGGCATGGACCGGCAGATGGAGTCCACCAACTTCCTGCCGTGATTTGGATCTGGGAGACTGGAATCTTTGGTAGCGATCAAGATAGTTTGCTGCCGCGCCTCGGGGGGCGCTTTCGCAAGCAGATAGAACTTCATCCGCAGGACCATGAGCTGGCAAACGCGCCATACATTCCAGATCGTGGCAATCTGGACGGTCGGGTATATGTCGCAGGACCCAAAGTAACCCAAGCTATCTTCTTCGAGCCCTTTGCAAGGCTGCCATGAGGCCGGCACTAGCTGAATCCAATCCGAGAGCTGTGCGTTAACAGACGAAGCCTCCTGCCACCAAGTCGCGAGGGTTAGACCATCTAAGTTATTCTTGGCCAGCCCGCACATAAAGGTGGATAGTCTCCTTTGCAAATCGGCAATCGAGAGCCCGATCAGGTCCAAGACTGCATTCGGATTGGCCGGCGTAGAATAGTCCCACCCTGCATCGAACCAAACATCCAGGCTCGAGGTGTCCTCTGGTTGCATTTCCATATATGTCGACACGTCACAGTGCCGCAGGTATCTCCTCAAGTATGCGCGGCAATCCGAGTCCGGGACGCTCTCGGCGCCATGTTCCAGCAATGCACGAGCCCCGTCCTGGTGAGCACGCATGGTATGCTGGTGCGTCGACCGAGCAACGAGGCTCTCGTAGAAATGCATCAAGATAGCGCTGAGTACGGTACTGTCCTTTGACCGCTCAAGGGGATCATTAAGAGCTGCTCGTAGGCGACTCAGCGCCCTGGTGAACGGAGGATGAGGTGTTCGATAGTTGTTGGTTGGGATTTTCCATAAGCTCCAGAGCTTCGTTGACACGGCAGTCAGGACGGTCGAGAGGACAGAATCCGGATGCTCCTTGGATACGACAGGGAGAAGAGGCTCCAGGAAACCCTGGGTCGAGCGAAAGCTGCGTCCTAAGCCCGCAATCGAGGTGTGAAAGAAGCAGACAGCGAGTGATTCGTCGCTGGTGGAAATCCTTGCTGGTATGACAGCCTGCATTGTCCATTCTGGCGTTGTCAACATGCGAGGGCTCCTGAACCGTGATGTCGGCGTAAGGAGCCTTGCACCAGTGCTCTGGTCCTTGAACCGAATTTCGCCTATCTTTTTCTGTGATTCGTAACCTCCACACACCCGTCGCAGCCGGAGGCATTCACGACAGCTTGGTCGGTCTTCGTCGCATTTAACACGTCGTTTGCGACATGTCGAGCAGCCCTTTGAGGGGCCATGATTGACCATGTCTACTGCGCAATGATCGACAGGACTGATGTCGCTTCTGGTTGAGAGTCGCCACGCGGCCGGTTCTCTTTGCGATTCGTCGCATCCAGGGACTGAGTTATCGATACCGTCATGCGAAAATTAGATAGCGTTGCGAACGAAGTATAGATCGTTGAGTTCGAGTCCAGGTCTCCTCATCAGCCAGGCTTGTGTGCAGTGTCAGCAATGAGACTTGCGAAAGCCGTGGGGTGATTGGAACTAATTAGAGAGTGGCAGAGCATTACAAGGCGACCAATCGCAAAGAAATTGCCTTATCCGTCCTAGTCGCCGCGTCATTCATAATAGCCTCATGGTTCCCGGGAGTGCGCAACTGAGAAAATACCAATCGCAAACAGGCTCGATGCATGGCTGGTACATAGTGTAGGTGTAAACTGGTTGTGCGTTGCTCTCGCTGAAAAGGATTGCGAGAAGAGGCAAATGAAGATAAAAGGCAGTGCATCGCGACAATATCATAGCATGATCAACACCGTCCCCAGTAACTCTACCCATTTTTTCTCTACTCTACACTTACTTCTGAGTGCCTTCCAAAATGAAGTCAACATCCCTGTTCAGTGCTGTTCTCCTGGGGGCAACAGTAGCTTCTAGCGCAATTCTTTCCCGCGACTCTGGGCCATCGTTCTCGCCAAAGGAGCCAGAGGATCCCATCATCCTCTTGAGCAAGGATGAAAGCTTCCATTTCGAGCTGCTCTTCACCCTCGGAAATACCATGTTCGGGGCTGGCGACGTCAACGACGTCTTGGCCGCAGCGAAAGACGTCAAGGCCGGGAATTTCACTAGCTGGCTTGAGACCTTCCATGCGTTGGCTCAATCCACCAAAAAGCAAGCCGAGGATGCGGACAATGCGTATGATCCATTGAACGTCCGGGAAGCCTGGTTCGCTGCATCGAGCTACTACCGTCAGGCCGACTTCTACAACCATGCGAACTGGACGGACCCACGTATCAATGGCTTCTGGCTCGAGCAACGCGCTGCGTTTGATAAGGCGCTTGCTACACTGCTCGTTCCTGGCGTACGTATGCAGATCCCGACAGACAACTTCACCATCGAAGCAATCTGGTACACATCTGCAGCCGACGGGGTCAAACGGCCAACCTTGATTATCGGCAACGGATACGATGCTAGCCAGGAAGACTCCTACCACTCGTTCGTTGTACCAGCCTTGGCCCGTGGCTGGAATGTTATGACCTACGAAGGGCCAGGGCAGCCCACTGTTCGCCGCAATGATGACATTGGTTTCATCCCTGATTGGGAGAAGGTTCTCACGCCAGTGATAGACGAGTTGATGAATCTCAAAGGCTGCTTCGTCGATGAAGACCGGCTGGTTCTTGTTGGCGTTTCAATGGGTGGGTATCTAGCCGCTCGTGCAGCTGCGTTTGAGCCTCGGATCAAGGCTCTTATTCTCAATGGCGGCGTGTGGGATGTCTACGAGGGATACGCCAGTCAGCTGACCCCGGACATGAAGGAACTCCTCGCTGCGGGCAAGCAAGAGGAATTTGACGAGGCTGCCTTGCCGCTCTTGGATAGCCCACAGGTGCCTACAACGATGCGCTGGGGTCTAGGACACGGATTGTGGTGCTTCAAGCAGTATTCCCCGTATCTGTGGCTCGAATCGCTCAAGCAGTACACTCTCGATAACGTGGTTGAGAAGATCAACGTACCCGTCCTTGTCGTCGATTCCGAGTTCGAGGGGTTCTTCGCTGGCCAGCCGGAGCTTGTTAAGGACGCACTCGGCGATAATGCAACTTATAAGTTCTTTAATAGAACAGCTGGGTATCACGTCCAAGTTGGAGCTGGGCAGGAATGGAATAGATACCAGTTTGCCTGGCTCAATAAGACACTAGGGTAAGCAGGATTACCTTTTATATATTGCAGCCTAGCCTGTAGGTTAATTGCTATGATGGAAGGCTTTACATTACTATTGTTATTTACAAAGAAATTACTTCGTATTTCATTTTATAACCTTAGATAATATCCTTAGAATTAACCATCTCTTGCCCGAAAAAACAGGCTCTTTATTTCTCCCTATCGAATGGAAAGAAAGCCAGCAGTTCCCGTATCTCAGTGCGGTAGTCAAGGAGACTTTCCGCCTCCATCCGCCTAGGGGGCTTCTTCTAGAATGGTTCGTCCCAGATGGAGGGCTTCAGTTACCAGACGGGCCTTTTCATCCATCTAGTACGATAGTTGGCGCCAATACATAGGTTTTACACCGTCATCCAGTATTTGGCGACGATTTGGAATCGCTCGATCCCGAAAGGTGGCTCCAGAGATTCGACGAGTCTGAGGAGGACTTCATCACCAGAAGGTCACGCATGATCAGTGCGTCTCTCACTTTCGGTGCTGGGCCACGGACCTGCATCGGCAAAAACCTCAGTTTGCTTGAGATTTACAAGAATATTTCAACTCTTCTACTCAAGTATTAGGTAGGGTATTCAGGACTCGACACTAGGCTGCCCCATTACTGTGTGCGTATAATCGCTATTGATACTGAGTGGATTTAATTTGAGTTGGACAATAATGCAAAGCTCATCTTTTGCCAGGCAGTCGAACTTCACGGTCAAGTTAAGAAAGTCTTGCGGACAGGATAATGCTTGAATCGATCCGATACAGCGGTGCTTCGTTGCAATCACTTCGTGGAGGCGTCTGGCTTAAGTTGGTGGTGAGATGAGCCCAACTAAGATCGCCTCAAGAGCCAAATCGATGCCCCAACCAAGGGAACAAGAAAGCTTCCAACCTTGAGAGCAGTCTTCTTCCACGACGCTATCATGTCCTTCATTACCATGACCTGGAACTCTGCTGCTTCGTTGACCCTGGGATAAGGAACATCTGGAATGTCGTGACCAAGGAAAGGGCAGATTTTGTCCCATCCAAGTCCCTCCTCAAGCTTGATCACGAGTAGCTTATCCGCTGGAATCAGCTCCTTGACAATCCTGTTGCTGGGGGTAGGTCAGCAAGTTATCCGGAAATAACCCCATCTATTCTCGTACTCACTGTCTCTCATAGACCTTGACGGCCTCGCGCTGAGCCTTCTGTTTGTCAGGCCCTAGATACCCACCATAGAGAACGTAGACGAAGCTGTGGGTCAATTTGCTAATGTAGTACGTATACGAGTCAAACAATCCGACCAGGCGAATCATAGGCGACAGCCAAAATTCGCCCAGTGGCTGGAAAGTCTTGGCCACGGACTTCCTCCACGCCTCAGGATCACGCTCCGTGATCGCCCAAAAACTTGTCAAAGTCCTCACGGGTAAAAGGTTTGCCGATCCCTTGGGAGCTCGCCCGGACTGCGTCGTTCATCATGCGCACGTGGGGTACGCCATTCTTGAAGACTTCAAGCTGATGGTAGGGCTTGTAGCCGAGGATCTTGAGTGCGTAGTAGAATCCCAATGTGGCGTTTCTATCAATACCCCATTTAGCCTCGTCATTTAATAGCAATGGATTTCGTTGAACATGGAGTCTCTTGCATTCAAAGAAGGCACTCACCGACCAAAGCTCAACAAGATGACCTTCATCGGTCGAGGGTTCGGGTGCACCGGCTGACGGTCGATGTATCGTGACATGATCTTGCAACGTCCTCTACCCTGAGGTCGTTCCTTACAATATTTTGCCTGAGAGCTATCAGAGTCAGGACACAAAGCGAAGGCAATCTTCAAGTTCTGAACGAGGTTTTATCCGGGCTACCACTCACCTTAGCCGGCGGATTCCAGGTGCCGCTGACGCCAAGCGCGTCAGCAAATGCGGTGTTCATCGTCAGCACTAAGACATGCATAGCGATCCCAAAACAATTTCCGAACCTATCGTGAAGTAGGAAGTCAGCTCGGGAACGGTGTGAGCTAGAATTGAGACCTTTTCCACAGACTGCAAAATGATCAGACACGTCGGTGTAAAGGATTGGCTTACATTCCGAGATGATGATTCTGACATGGTTGTATTATGGAGGAGCCCCGAATTCCACCACGACTTGCTGCTAACTAACGGCCATGGACAGGTCATTTTACTTGCCCCACATGTACACTAGTTCGCTGCCCTCATGGGGTAGCACTTTTACGATCTGGCTACATAAGCATACCTCCAGTGGACACAGCGGTCTCCAAAACCTATGACCAGAGGACGAGCAAGAGGGCAAGTGCTCGGAACAGGCTATGATCACACGAAATCTTCTAGTAGAGAGCGATGGCTCGTCTCAAGCTTTACGTCGCCCATGGTTTGCAGTCGGTCTGTTCCCGCCTTTCGGAGATGGCTTGGCATCCAAAGAGGGAAGTGGGCAACCTTGAGTGAGGAATTGGACCAAAGATGCCGACCTCGATGGTATAGGAGATAGATGGGAGTAACAATACATCACCGCTCATATTGAGTGACTGGAAGAGATTGATACTTTCAGTCATTACACTTGTTCACATCTACAACCGCTCCCGATCCAGTTGCAAGAACAAACCTGTGCTCCAAGTAAGTACAGCCTACGCTCGTAAAACTTCACTTGACTTACCAGCAATAAAGTCCTTCAACAATGGATTCCAACAACATTACACACACCACGGTATCATACACAAAAGGGCCTGAAGTCGATCAAGCCACGCAATCGCCGCCTCCCTGTGGGCTCAAAAGAAGCAATGCGATCCGCCACCGAGTGCACCCACGCTGGGACCCCGCCACTTCCGAGGCTTTGCTGAGACGATGGATTAAGAGAATTGGCCATTGAATCGCAAAAAGCTAAGAGGCGTGTCGAGAAAGTTTGGGCGAGTCGTCTCATTTACTCCCTGCCCTGAGATCACACAGCGTTCGTAAGGGCACGGGTCTCAATGAGTGGCACCAGCCCCCGGGTTGTGATCATAGTAGCCAAAGTGGGCCTCAGATTCAGTATAAAAGGATGCGTACCGCCGCCTAGACTTGTGAAGAAGGACCAGCAGGAATCATATCCACCAGCAATAGTGGTCGGAGGACAGTGCCACCAGCAATAGCGGTCGGAAGGCAGTCAACACCTAGGGCATGGGTGTGTGAGCTGGGATTCCAGTTCTCGACCTCATTCAACCGGCTTCTATACCTTGTTAAACCAGATCAATCAGTCTCCAAGGTATGTTCTGGCACGAAAATTGCCAGAACAGAGAATAGAAATAAGTGGTAGATTATGGCCATGACCATAGACCTGGAAAAGTGAATCTATGTTTACAAGTGCTGAGGGCATTCTACTGTGTCTTGGGCATCAACTCCGCTAAATGCCAAAGTCACAAGCGAGATGTAGCTCACATATCTTGATCATTGAGATAGAGATCTTAAAGAAATAGGGCAAGATGTATCATGTGAAGCGTGTGCCTCTGCGTCGATTGCCCGGGGCAGTAAATGTGATCGCGAAGTCAGTATAAATTAGTACACATCGCCCCCTTGATGTGAGAAAGGGTCAAGCAGCAATGGGTACCACAGCCACCAGCAGTAGCTGTCTATGTCATGAAGAGAAGATGGCATATGCCTAAAGTACAGTGCGGCGAGTACTGTCGAGGCCCATCAATAACAAACATCATATTATACCATGTCAGGCGTTTCTCACGCAGTATTCCGTCTAGAATAACATCACAACAGGAAGCAAGATCAAGCGGTAGATTATGTAAGTCGGAGCACCCCCATTCGGCCACCCCCCCCATTCGGCCACCCTATTAAAAATAAATCTAAGTATATTATTACTAACTATAGTTAATTAATTAACTACTTTTTATTACTACTATAATATAATTACTACCCTTACTAAGTAATTCGACCTCTATAGTTCGATTAGGATTAATTAAACGCTCGCTAATATTTTCTTAAGCCCTTTTTATATTCCTAATATTAGCGAACTTAGTATTTAGGTCTATTTAAATACTTTTTTTTTTCTTAAGAGCTATATACTTAACTCTAATTTTTAAAACTCGAACTTATTATTAAAATAAGGCTAATAAAAAGGACTTTTTATTAAAAGCTTTTTTAATTTTATAAAAAAGTAGACGTTAAGTATAGTAGTTAGGCCTAAGCTTTATAAATAGTTTTAATTATTTATAAAAATCGTTAGTTTTTTTAAGAATTAATTAGTTAATAATAAACGTTATAGAGGTTTAGTTAATAACTTTAATAGTATTAGTAATTATTTACTTAGTATTAATAATATTATTTAATAATATAGTTAAGCTAAATAATATTATAGAATTATTAAGAAGTATAGTTATATTAAGTAGTTATAAACTAATTACTTTTTAATTACTTTATATATTATTCCTTATTAAATTAAATAAACGAGTTATAATATAATAAATTAAGAAGTACTACTTTTTAATAATAGTAAAATTATTTATTATATTCTCTTTACTAAGCTCCTTTTTATAATAAGTTTTAATAAGACTAAAAATAGCTATATTTAATAGCTAGAGAATATAAAAAGTATATAGTAATAAAAATAATAAGTAAACGTTATTAATATAATACTCTTATATAAATTCTATTATTATATAATTCTTATACTTATTTAGAATTAATAGTTAAGGCTCTAGTTATAAGTTAAGTCCCCTAGTTATAGGGAGCTTAGTTTATAATAAAAAGATTACCCTTAATTATATAAGGGTAGTTTAGTTTATAATTTACTTATTATTTATTATTATAAACTCTTAATTATTAAGATTTTTAAAATTAAGGGGGAACTATTATTATTAAACCGACTTTTTTTTATAAATTAATAATAATTTAATAGCTCTATTACTAATAAAAATATATTTAATAATAAAGATTTAAAAACGCGATCTAAGCTCTTTTTTTTATATTATATTAATCTTAATTATACTTAAAACTAGCTTATTAAATCCCTTATCCTTAAGGATATTAGTTTTATTTATATTATATTTATTAATTTATTTAATATTTTTAATCTCTAGTATATTAAATAATCGGAACTAAGGCTTAATTACTTTAATAAATACTTTATTAATACGCTTTAAATCTATAAGATAACTTTTCTAAACTTTAATAAATAAGTTTTATTTTAAAAAAGCATTTATTTATTTCTTGTTAAAAAGATAATTATCCCCCTAGGTTTATAATACTTACTTAGTAAATTCTCTAATTTATTTATAAATTAGTATAATTCTTAGAGTATATTAAATACGAACCTATTTAATTAACCTATTTTCTTATTAAGGGAGAAGCTTTTATTAATTTATAAAAGTAATTACCTTAGCTTATTAATTTTATTAATAATTCTAAAATATATTTTTTAAAATCCTAAACTTAATTAAAACCCTCTTAATTAAGGTACTACTTCTAATTACTTCGAGCGCTTAAATAATTTTATTTTTAATATACGATATTATAATATAATAAAGAATATATATATTAAAAAGAAATTCGTTTAGATAATAATTATAATTATTATAGTGGTTTATCAATTGAGGGTAGGATTTTAATTAGGGTAGCTAAGAGGGATTTTTGGGGTAGCCGAATGGGGGGGGTGGCCGAATGGGGGTGTTCCGACTTAATTAAAAGTACGATTTGCAAACAACCTTGGAACTTTAGTGAACGGCTACTCTAGCATATCCCTCTTTTCGTTCCTAAAGTCTCTGATTCCCGAAGCTATAGGTAGGAAGAAGGAAACTCACTTCTTACCGACTTGAAATTGAATTTGTAGTGAATGTGGCGGCCAGCCACGGCCATGTCCCTCTGACTAGTAAAGGCGCAGAGGCGACATCCACCAAGCCCATCTCTTGCGGGCTCATTTCATACAGGTAGGAATGTTCCGCTGATTTGAAGCTTGCTGCAGTGGTCACAGTGACCGGGGAGAAGACTATTTAAATGAGCCAATAGTTGCAACAAAGTCGGAGAGCAGCAGGGCATGAATCCACGAAGAGATCCAGGAGGACGGTGATCCATACCGTAAAAAGGAGGTAGCTTATGCTCAAGGGCGACTGCGGCGATAGGTATGAAGGCAAACAAGTCCCAGGTTCCTATCGATATCCGAACTACTCTCTAAACAATGTCATGTCGTATCGGGCGGTTACCAAGCATTATTCCGCACGTAATACTATCGGAATAGAGGACGATGATAAATAGTACACTGAGCGGTTGTACTAGATATCGTCTACAGGTTTCATGGAGCCTACTCACCCAGCAATCGCATCTACAATATTCAGTCGTATCTCTTGGTGCCCGTATCTCTGTGCCCGATGTGAGCATATCCCGTCCTGGGTCGTGGGCGTGATACGGATGTGTGGGATACAGCTTCCATATCGACTAGCTATTACCGGATTTATATAGTATGTGGCGACTTCCCCTGCCAGAGTATGTTCACGCAGAGGTGATGCCTACCGAGTCTTGTTGAAACTCTTCTCTCAGAAGGCAAGCAACTGAACCCTCCCAGCGATCGGTCGACGACCCGCAGCCCAAAACACTCATGGATCTGTATCATTCATGTGTTCATCAATGATCACACTAATACACAGGATGCTTGTTCAAGAGACGGAACTTCTCAATCGATTCAAGGCAGGCAAGACAAAAAGCCAGACAACCGATCCAGCACAGGCTGCTGCTTCTCCTTGGACGCCGTCGTCTTGTCGTTGGAATCACCCACGCTCACGGATATGTAGCATCCCGCCGTACCGACAACCGTGTTCTCCTCGGGCAACCTCGCGTCGTCACCGCACATGCTCACATCCGGACCGGACAGCAGTCCCGGGTTGATCCGGCTCAAGACCCACTTGAACTGGTCCGGGTCGTTGCACTCCGTGTCGCTGACCT